AAAAAAAAAAAAAAAATCATTTACAGGCTTCAATTGCTAATAAAAAATTTGAGAATATGAGAATTTGTTGCAATTTTATTTTTCAAAGGACTAAAATTACAGCAAATATTAAATCACTAGACGAAAAAGAAAAATGTTGAAACATTTGAATTAAAATTGTTATGACGTTAAACTAACATGAGTAAAAATTACAATTTTGCCGTTCTTGCCTATAATAGAATTTGATTTTATTGTTTTCTTGTTTATCATATAACATTAGATTTCTGTTTCCAATACATGTTTCAAGTACAATCAGCATTGGCTAGATATATAAGGATAATAAAGTGTTAAGTTTAATCATCTTAACTCTGTTTCAAAAGACAAAGATTTTAGCTTCAAGCATTTATAGTGATTTTTTTTTAATTGATCTCAGATAATCGCGGAAACGCCATAGATTACATACCTGGTGTGAAGCCATTGGAACCGAAAGACTTAATGTCGTTTCTCCAAGAAACCGATACCTCATCACCGATGCACCGAGTAATCCACAAAGCCTTTTCTGATGTGAAAAAAGCCGATTTCATCCTATGCAATACCGTGGTAGAGCTCGAGCCCGAACCCATTTCCGCGCTGAATGAAATCCGGCCCACATATGCAATCGGGCCTTTGTTTGATTCCCACTACTTCACTAACCCATCCGTCGAAATGAACTTGTGGGCCGAATCGGATTGTGCGCGTTGGCTTGCTACCAAGCCTCATGGCTCGGTCGTGTACGTTTCTTTTGGTAGCTTTGTGCACACAAAGCAAGAAGATATGATCAAGACGATTGCAAACGGGCTCATGCTAAGCGGGCTTGATTTCATTTGGGCTTTGAGGCCCGAGAGAGTGAGCTCGGAGCCCGATGGGTTTCGGGAGAGTGTTATTGGGAGTAGAGGTTTGGTTGTGCCGTGGTGCAAACAAAAGGCGATTCTGTCAAATTCTGCTGTCGGGGGGTTTTTGACGCACTGCGGGTGGAACTCGATAATGGAGAGCATTTGGGCCGGCGTGCCTTTGATTTGTTTCCCTTCGGTGGGTGATCAAATCACGAACCGGAAAATGGTGGTGGATGATTGGAGAATCGGAATCGATCTTTTTGGAGCGAATAAAATGTTGGGCTCAGATGCGCAAATGCGGAATTAAAAACACCGGAGTAAAATGGTGAACATTAATCCCAATCGCAGCAACTCAAAAATGACAAAAGAAAATCTCTTGCAATAAAACAGGAATAATTCTTTTCTGATGTAGAAGATCAGATTAAACTGCGACCACAGAGTATACTAAGAATATCCCAAATAAATAAAATATGCAAGAAAAACGACACCAAGATTTAACGTGGAAAAACCTCCAATGTAGAGGAAAAAACCACGGGACAACCTCCGAACAATTCCACTATATTTTCAAGATAATTACAATATCTTTTCACACTCCCCTATACTAGAAATGTAAAATATAGTGTCCCAGTGAGACCCCACTCCTATTCAAATATTACAAACAAGGAGTAATAGAGATGATACCCGACCCGGTGTATTTTTCCCACACCCAAAGGATTTACTCAAACACTCTATTTTTCTCTCACTGAAAAATAACACTCACAAGAAATATTATTCTTGTTATCTTGCTCTCTCTTTTTCTCTCTTTTTTCTTTTGCTTGGTACATTTCCATCTGCTGAAACCCCCTCTATTTATAGAGGGGAAATGCCATGTGAACAAAGAAAAAAAACCGGCTGCACCTTCCTCAATTTTTCTTCATTGTAGGCGTGTGACAATTTTTCTTCTTTCCATAATGGTGGCTAAGCCCACCAATTTTGACTTTTCCTTTTGATGCTGGATACTACAATTCTCCCCCTCCAGCCAAAAGGAAATATACTGCAGACCTTTACATGCATTCCATGCCGATTAATTCGGCACAATGTTGAAGCTTTCCTCCTGTTACAACTTTCGTCATCATGTCAGCAGGGTTTTCGTCAGTGTGAATCTTTTCCAACTTGAACTGTTGTTCTTCCACTGCTTGACGTAGCCAATGATATCTGACATCAATGTGCTTCGTGCGAGAGTGGTACATCGCATTCTTACTTAAATCCAATGCGCTCTGACTATCGCAATGGATATCGTACCTTTCCTGCTTCATTCCCAATTGTTGAAGAAACCTCTTCAACCAAAGCATTTCTTTTCCTGCTTCTGTCAGTGCAATATACTCGGCTTCAGTAGTCGACAAGGCAACAGATTTCTGCAATTTAGATTGCCAAGATACAGCTCCTCCTGCAAATGTAAACACAAGCCCTGTAGTAGATTTTCTACTATCCAGGTCACCTGCCATATCCGCATCTGTATAACCCTCAAGAACTGGGTTTCCTTTGCCGAAGCTCAAGCACTTATTTGCACTACCTTTTAAGTACCTCAAGATCCACTTCACAGCTTCCCAATGTTCCTTCCCTGGATTGGAAAGATACCTGCTAACAACTCCAACCGCGTGAGCGATATCTGGTCTAGTACAAACCATGGCATACATCAAACTCCCGACTGCCGAGGAGTATGGAACACCCGCCATAGCTTCTTTTTCTTCTTGACTCATAGGACAACTTCGTTTGCTGAGTTTGAAGTGATTGGCCAACGGTGTATTGACCGGCTTAGCTGATTTCATGTTGAATCTCTCCAGAATCCGATTCACATACCGTTCTTGCGATAACCATAACCTCTTGGATTTTCGGTCTCGCATGATCTGCATGCCCAAAATTTGTTTCGCCGGGCCCAGATCCTTCATATCAAAGGACTTTGCTAAATCCTTCTTTAAATCACTAATCAGCTTCATATCATGTCCCACTATCAACATATCATCTACATATAACAGAAGGATAATGAATTTATCACCTGGAAATTTCTTAACGAACACACAATGATCTGCGTCAGTCTTCGTATATCCATGGCTCGCCATAAACGAATCAAATTTCTTATACCACTGTCTTGGAGCTTGTTTCAGTCCATACAAGCTCTTCTTCAATCTGCAAACCATGTGCTCCTTTCCAGTCTTCTCAAATCCTTCTGGTTGCTCCATGTAGATTTCTTCATCTAGGTCTCCATGAAGAAATGCAGTCTTCACATCTAGTTGTTCAAGCTCCAAATCCAAGCTAGCCACCAATCCGAGTATTACTCGGATAGAGCTCATCTTTACAACCGGTGAGAAGATTTCATCGAAATCTATCCCTCGCTTTTGTCCAAATCCTTTCACGACTAAGCGAGCCTTGTACTTCAACAGCTTGTCACCATCTTTCTTAAGCTTGAACACCCATTTATTTTTCAAGGCTTTTCTGCCTTCCGGAAGCTTCACAAGCTCATAAGTTTCATTTTTCACCAGTGAATCCATTTCTTCTTGCATAGCTTTCATCCACTGGGATTTATCCTTATGAGTTTGTACTTCTCCAAAGCTTTCTGGCTCCCCTTCTTCCGTGATGGTAATATACGTGGAACTAGGGTACCTCGTAGATGGTTGGATCGCTCGATTTGATCTCCTGAGCTGAGGCGGAGCTTCGAGGTCTTCTTGCTCGACACCTTCACCATCACCATCTTCTATTGCTGGTTCATCATCAACCCTGAGTTCTCCATCACACTCTCCCCCTACTGTGGCATCTCTAGGAGGTTCTACAGGTGAAAGATCCACCTTACCACCTGGTTCTCTGATTTCTGGTGAAGCAGAATCAGACATAGTTTCTTGCTCATGGAATACTACATCTCTACTTCTGACAATTTTTCGTTTTTCTGGATCCCATAACCTGTAGCCAAATTCCTCATCTCCATAGCCCAGAAATATACAAGGAATGGCTCTATCATCAAGTTTTCGTCTCTGTTCCTTGCTTACGTGAGCAAAAGCTTTGCATCCAAACACCTTCAAATGAGAGTATTTAACATCATGTCCGGACCATACTCTCTCAGGGATATCAAAGCCCAAAGGAACAGATGGAGATCGGTTGATCAGGTAGCACGCCGTTAGAACAGCTTCACCCCAGAATGGCTTAGGTAACTTAGCCATTCTTAACATACACCTCACTTTCTCCATAATGGTTCTATTGATTCTTTCAGCCACACCATTATGTTGTGGGGTTCCAGGTACAGTCTTCTCATGCCTGATTCCATGATCAGCACAATAATTCTTGAATTCATGGGAAGTATATTCCCCTCCATTATCTGAGCGAAGACACTTCAAAGGTTTACCAGTTTGTCTCTCCACCATAGCGTGAAACCTTTTGAAGTACTGAAAAACTTCGTCCTTCGTTCTCAAGAAATACACCCACAATTTTCGTGAAGCATCATCAATAAACGTCACGAAATATTTGCTACCACCGAGACTCTCCTCTTCCATGGGTCCACATACATCAGAATACACCATCTCCAACACATTCTCTTTCAGCTTCGAGGTTTTGCTGAAAGACACTCTATGATGCTTCCCAAAGAGACAATAATCACAAGGATTTAGTTTTGAATCTTTGGCAAACGGGATGAGGGACTTTCTTGCCAAAATTTGCAATCCTTTTTCACCAATATGAGCCAGTCTTTTGTGCCACAAATTTGGCGAAGCATCATCTTCGACTGCATTCAGGCCACCCTTGATCAGCTTCACTTGAGTTCTGTACAGTGTCGATCTCACTGTACCTTTAGCAGCTAACAATGATCCTTTGGTAAGCCTCCATGTGCCGCTACCAAAATTGTTAGTGTAGCCTGCTAGATCCAATGCATGCACAGAGATCAGATTCAGACGTAAGTCAGGTACATGTCGCACGTCCTTCAGTGTTATTGTGCACCCAATATCAGTTTGAATGCACACATCACCAACTCCCACAATATTTGCAATGCTGTCGTTGCCCATCTTTACTCTACCAAAGTCTCCTTCTTTGTATAGAGAAAAGAATTCCTTGTGAGAGGTGGCATGGTAAGATGCGGCCGAGTCAATGACCCATTCAACACATGAATCTGCAACATGACACTCTTCTTCTTCAACAGAGAGCAACACCACTTCCCCATTGATCACAGGGGTTGCGGTATTTTCATCGTTCTCTGATTTGTTATTCCTCCGATCTCTGTTCTTCCAGGCTTTGCAGTTTCTTTTGATATGCCCCTCTTCACCGCAGTGATAACATTTGAATTTTCTTCTGGGTTGAGATTGTGATTTATCTCTGGATTTGTTATTCCGGCCTCTGCTTTTACTTCTCCCCCTGGTTTCTGTGACCAGGGCTTGGGAGCTGCTTGCTCCTGAATCTTTTCTTCTTGTTTCTTCATTAAACATACTGTCTTTGACTTGGGTCAAAGTCAGTTTTCCTTCAGGAGCAGAGTTGCTCAACGAGACCACCAGAGTCTCCCAGCTATCCGGTAAAGAACTCAAAAGTAACAACGCCTGCAGTTCTTCGTCAAGTTTCATCTCCATGGTAACAAGTTGGTTTACCATGTCTTGAAACTCATTCAAGTGTTCTGCAACAGACCTTCCATCCCGATATTTTAAATTCACAAGCTTTCTGATAACGAAAGCTTTATTTTGTGCAGTCTTCCTTTGATACATCTGCTCGATTTTGTTCCACAGTGTATGGGCTTTCGACTCTGTGGCAACATGGTGGAATATGCTGATATCCACCCACTGTCGGATTAAACTGACAGCCTTCCTGTGTAACTTTTTCCAATCGTCATCCTTCACGTCATCTGGCTTGTTATCTCCCTTTTCTACAGGATCATACAGATCTTTGTAGAAAAGTATGTCCTCCATTTTTGGCTTCCAAATGGAGTAATTTGTTGCTGTCAGCTTCACCATGGTACCCACGTTCTCCTCCATTTAATTTACACTGGTTGATACAGAGCCCAACTTAAGCTCTGATACCACTTGTTGGGCTCAGATGCGCAAATGCGGAATTAAAAACACCGGAGTAAAATGGTGAACATTAATCCCAATCGCAGCAACTCAAAAATGACAAAAGAAAATCTCTTGCAATAAAACAGGAATAATTCTTTTCTGATGTAGAAGATCAGATTAAACTGCGACCACAGAGTATACTAAGAATATCCCAAATAAATAAAATATGCAAGAAAAACGACACCAAGATTTAACGTGGAAAAACCTCCAATGTAGAGGAAAAAACCACGGGACAACCTCCGAACAATTCCACTATATTTTCAAGATAATTACAATATCTTTTCACACTTCCCTATACTAGAAATGTAAAATATAGTGTCCCAGTGAGACCCCACTCCTATTCAAATATTACAAACAAGGAGTAATAGAGATGATACCCGACCCGGTGTATTTTTCCCACACCCAAAGGATTTACTCAAACACTCTATTTTTCTCTCACTGAAAAATAACACTCACAAGAAATATTATTCTTGTTATCTTGCTCTCTCTTTTTCTCTCTTTTTTCTTTTGCTTGGTACATTTCCATCTGCTGAAACCCCCTCTATTTATAGAGGGGAAATGCCATGTGAACAAAGAAAAAAAACCGGCTGCACCTTCCTCAATTTTTCTTCATTGTAGGCGTGTGACAATTTTTCTTCTTTCCATAATGGTGGCTAAGCCCACCAATTTTGACTTTTCCTTTTGATGCTGGATACTACACAAAAATGTTGCTTCGTGTGAGGAAGTTGCGGAGAGGATTAACGCGTTGATGAGCGGAGACTTGCACGACGAGTTGAGGAGGAATATCGGGCGAGTTAAGGAGAAGTTAGAGAATGCGATGACGAGGAATGGATCGTCGCGAATGAATTTCGATAAATTTGTGGAGGATTTGAAAGCCAAAATGGAGAGTTGTAATTGTTAGATTAAGCCATATTGAATTCTATGAAGAAGAAGAAGAAGACTAAGTAATCATGATGCTTAGGATGGCTATGCAAAAGTATTGTAGGCAAAAGTTTGTGGAGAATAGGGCATTAACGCTCCAAACATTTGAGAAGTTAGGACATGCGAGGTATAAGAAGTGAGATAATTATGATTAATGAATAATGTATTTTTCTCGAAATAATTTGTGTTTATTCATGACTTTGGACCTTTGGTGAAGAAAAAATTACCAAACTTGAAGAAACTGAATTTATTTTATATCTAATCATCATACTATTTCTACTCGGGAAAATTTAAACCCATTCCAAGAAAATAGAAGAATAAATATCAAGAGATTTATTCTATTTAAAAAACAATAAATTTTTAGCTTTTTATTATTTATATTAGATTGTTCTAATTTAACCTTTTTTTCAGTTTTGCTATGAAACCATCGGATGGCTCGCTTATGGAGTCATCCATAATTATCCACAAATGGTGTATTGACACGTGTCCTACAATAAATGCACATTGGACACGTGTCAATACATAAAGTTATGGATTGTTCCATAAGGGAGCTATTCGATGGTTCCATAGAATTACTGCCTTTTTTTTAATATACTACTAGTACAGTACCCGTACAATTACCTACTTTATTTTTAAAATGCACTTTTTGTATTTAAATTGCCTCATTACATTAAAAATATCATGAAAATAAAATTTATATATTATTGACCATTTTATGTATAACATTCTAAGTTTGATTCTTTGGAACGTAAAATACTTTATGAGTGTTCGAATTTTATCTAAAATTATGTATTATTAGTTATTAATTAATAAATTACATTTAAAAAAAAATAAAGGATCTTATTTATTAAAAAAAATTATAGTAGAAAGAAAGTAGAGATTTTTAGGATTTTTTCACACTATTTTTTTTAATTCTAATTCAGAATTTTGATTAAGTAAGATTGAAAAGAATCATTTGTTTTTCTAAAAATTCAACCGAATTTTCATACCAATACACTGATTTTTTATCAAACAAATTGATCCGAATATTTGGTTAAAACAAAGTGAAAAAAAAAATCATCAATTTTTCCCAAAAATGGAACCAAATTTTTCTAACACTGCGGCGATTTTTTTTACTAAACAAATTGAATTGAAATTAATTTTAATAAAAGATCAGAATATTTGTTAAGATTTATGCAACTGTTTCTCAGTAAATGGTTAAGAAAAACATAAGGATCCAAAAACATCGGTTCATTCAAATTTTAAAAAGTTGCACATGATTTGATTTGAACTTTATTTCCTAATTAATTGAATAAGGTTTGATTTTAAATGTCAAAGATGAACCGATTTTGTTACCAAAAGGTGGATACAATTTTGAATGTATATCCAGTCCAAATTTTAATTTGTTTTAAAATAAAAATTGTTTTATTCAATTTGCACACATTTTTTTAAAGAAAAAATTATTCAAAAAGATTGAAAGAATTTGTTAAGAATTATACAACTATTTATTTCCTAAATTTGTATCCAATTTGCACGTTTTTTAAATTAATTTGTATTTGAATTTGTTTTCGTGAATCCCCAAACTTGTCACAAAAAAAATAGGATTCAAATTTGATAAAAAAAAATAAAAAATGATACAAAATAAATAAGATTCATATTTTGGCGTAAGAATCTCCAAATTTATTACAAAAAAAATGAGATTTTGTTACTAAAGATCTAGATGTATTTTTTCAAAATTTCTACTAATTGTAAGTCAACCCATATATTTTTTTGGTCAAAGTTACTAAAAATAATTTTACCAACAACTTTTTTATATTAGTATAGATTTTTGAATTTGAATTGTCTCATGACATTAAAAATATCATGCTTATCAATTTTATTTTTCAAATCCTTATCTGATTATTTACTTGTTTTCTATATATATATATTTGTAACAACCATTAGTATTTTGGATAGCTACGAATCAAAAAAATATAAAATATCTATATAAAATATAAAAATAAAATTGATATCAAATGATATTTTTATTTATGTAAACTAACACAAGGAACGATATAGTAATATATTATTTAAAAACATGGATTTAAGTAATAAATCGAAAATTTGTGAAAACCGATTTGAGTGCAAACCAAAAGAGTGTGATTAGAACGTGTATTTCGATTTATTACAAATATATAGTATATATTTTTTTATTTGTTGCTTGGTTTGTAGATATATTGTTTTAACAACCAAAGATATTTTGTAAATTGTGGAGTCTAAGAAGTATAACTTTTATATTCAAAATATCATTTTATAAAAGATCGGGTTAGTCTAACAAATAAGCTCATGCTTATCGATCTTATTTTTTAATTGCATATCGGAATAGTTAATTAGTTTGTTTGTACATATTTTTTTTTTATTCCAACCAAATATATTTAGTATTTTGAATATTGTGGATTCTATGAATAATTCAAATATTGGTATATGGTTGTAGATTTTAATTCGAATTCATATAGGATTAGGATTTATGGTTATAGATTTATTTGGTTTTTACAACCCAATGGTAGAAGAATTATCAAAGATTTGGTGTAATATTTGGCTAGATATATCATTGCACTAATAAGCGATTAAAATTCTAAATTATGTTAAATGTGATTTTCGTTTGATTATATTCCAAGTAAATCATTAGTATTTATCAGTAGAATATTTTTTTTCAAACCCTTATCCGATTAGTTTCTTGTGTTTTATATATATATTTGTAACAACCATTAATATTTTGGATAGCCTGGATTATATGAATCAATAAAATATAAAATATATCTATATAAAATATAAAAATAAAATTGTTATCAAATGATATTTTAATTTATGTAAACTTCCAATCGGATCAATATAGTAATATATTATTGAAAACCATGGATTTAAGTAATAATCCGAAAAATTGTGAAAACCTATTTGATTGCTCATAAACGAGTGTGATTAGAACGTGCATTTCGATTTACTGCAAATATATAGTATATATTATTTGATTTGTTGCTTGATTTGTAGATATATTGTTTTAACAACCAAGGATGTTTTGTACATATTTTTTTATTCCAACCAAATATATTTAGTATTTTGGATAGTGTGAATTCTTTGAATGATTCAAATCTTGGTATATGGCTGTAGATTTTAATTCAAATTCATATAGTGGGCACCATAAGCCATGCCACAATATGATGTGGCATGTGATGTGACTTTTTTAATTAGATTTATCAATTCAATGATAGATATTAGGTGGCTTTTTTAAAAAAACTAATTCATACGAAATCAGTTTATAAACTGTTCCCAAAATCAATTGTCGTTCCCCCAAATCCACTTCAACGTCACACAACCTCATTCACCGACGCCACCGCTATGGCCACAGTCGAGAGCTTTTTGCGGTGCTTTTTCTGGCGAAATGGTGGCCGCAGCGATCTGCTTTGGGGGGAGAGAGGAGTTCGAGCAGTTGGGGAAAGGGGGAATTCGTACCTCGAATTCAAGCTGTCGGGGAGAAATTAGAGCTCGTTGTTAGATAGGTTGAGGTCGGTGGCTTTAATCACATGCATACAAACACAGACAATAGAAAAAGCAACCAAAGCCTTCTAAATCAAACAGAAAAAAAGATTCGATCTTTAACCATGAAATCGACTTTTGCTTACAAAATTAGCTCATGAAAAAAATAAAAAGCCAGGAATTGATAGAACCCAAGAAAATATGATCCCAAATGATGGCCTAAATTGTTGATTCAGATAGTGAAAATGGAACAAATATGTGCAATTTTTCTTTTTTTTGTTACCTTTATTCACTTCATTACTCCCAGTCATAGGCCGCCCCTCAAAAATTGAAATAAAAAATTGGTAAAAAGGAGAAAAGGAGAATCTTTTTGCATCAAGTATTATTATTAGGTTGTTAAAGTTGTTAAAAAAGACAAAAAAATTTGAATTGATTATCAAAGATGTTTCTAAAAAAAAAGGGATAAAACGTTATCACTATCACATCCCAACGGATTACCAAAATTTTTTAAAATCATTATCACATGTGTGTTTTAGAATATTACTTATAATAGTAACTCAACATAGTTGACTCATTAATTTTAAAAGTTTACACAAATGATTTACCGACCTCTCTTTTTCAATATATTAATTTTAATTTTAAAGTGTTTCACTTTAAATTCTTTGTTCGTAGTGGTCCACGTCAATTCCTGCAGAAATCACGATTCACGCACACAAATCCAAAATCATCACCCCCAGAAAAGCAGAGAAAAAGATAGAACCAAAAATGGCAACCAACAAAAACCAGAAGCCACACGCTATAATGGTGTCCCTTCACCTTCAGGGCCACATCACCCCCTTCGTCAACCTCGCCCTCAAGCTAGCTTCCAATGGCTTCACCATCACTTTCGCCCATCTCCACTTCGTCCACCGCCAGATCTCGAAATCTCAACCCCCCACCACAGCCGCCGCCGCCGCATCTGACGCCGACGTCTTCTCCCGGGCCCGGGCTTCTGGCCTCGACATCCGCTACACGACCCTCAGCGACGGGCTCCCAATCGATTACGACCGGGCCGCCAATTTCGACCGGCACCTCGAATCGTTCATGTACCAGCTGCCGGACCACGTGGACGAGCTAGTCGGAAAATTGATCGCCGCGGACCCAAATTCCGACTATTTCCTGGTCGCCGACAGTCTCTGCATCTGGCCCGAAAAGATCGCCCGCAAACACAACCTGGTAAACGTCTCCTTCTGGACAGAGCCCGCTCTAGTCTTCTCCCTTTACTACCACTTAGATCTATTGAGAGAAAACGGTCACGTCCCCGTCAACGGCCGGCGGGTAAACGTCAATTACATCCCCGGAATCCCATCGATTAACACTAAGGACTTCGTATCATATTTTCACGATTCAGATTCAGATCTAACCCTGCTGCACAAGCTAATGTTTCGGGCCTTCGATGCAGTGAAATCCGCCGATTTCTTTCTCTGCAACACAGTCCAAGAGCTCGAACCCGATGCCATATCCGCCCTGAATCGAAAACACCCCTTTTACGCTATTGGGCCCGTCCTCCCACCGGTCCTCTCCCAAAGCCCAATAGCGACAAGCCTGCTGCCCGAATTCGACCCAACGGAGTGGCTAAGCTCCCGAGCCCAAAAATCGGTTCTCTATGTCTCGTTTGGTAGCCTTGCAAAGGTAGATAAGAGTGTGATTACGGAGATTGCGAACGGGCTTTTGTTGAGTGGGGTTGATTTTATATGGGTCGTGCGGCCCGGGATAACGGGTAATTTTGCGTGTTGTGATGGGATTTTGCCGGATGGATTTGAGGATAGTGTGAGGGGTAAAGGGTTAATCGTGCCATGGTGCGATCAAAATCGGGTCTTGTCGAGCCCAGCTGTCGGTGGATTTTTAACACATTGTGGGTGGAATTCGGTTGTCGAGAGCATTTGGTATGGTGTGCCGATGATTTGTTATCCCGTTTTTACGGACCAAATAACGAATCGGAAATTGGTGGTCGATGATTGGAGGGTCGGGATTAATTTGTGTGATGGTGAGGTTATCACGGGTGATGAAGTTAGGGATAAGATCGGGATTTTGATTAGTAGCGACGGGGAAAGGTCGAATGAGTTGAGGAGTGAAATTGGGAAAGTAAGGGAAGTTATGAAGAATGGAGTGTCAAAAGATGGGAGTTCTGAGAGGAATTTTGCTTCTTTTGTTGAGGATGTGAAGGGGGAGATAGTAAGGAGGAAATTACTTCATGGATGTGAAGAAAAAAATATGGACTTTGTTGGGTAAATAGAATGAATGAATGAATGATGACGGTCTTTGCTTGTTGTGTAATGGTGGTTGATGATATTTGACATGAAACAAAATCATAAAAGGATGTCATTTTTTTTCTCTAACTGTTGTTTTTGTCAAGAGTGCAAATAGTTTCTTGTTAAAATATGCAGGCTAGTGATATAAGATGCTTGTTAATAAAATTTGTTTTTTGCAAGGTTCTTTTTCAAGGTTTTATAAGATATATTGTTATTTTTGTCATTTTAATTTGTGGTTTGGTTTTAAATGATTGGAAGAGTATATTGGATTCTTTGAGGGCCTGTATGTAATTAGACAATCTTTTAATAGAATTTAGAAAATATAACCTCGTGATGCCTGGTGTACCATGTAAAGCATGGGTGATACTGATAGGCCTCCCTTAACGAGCCGAGCTGAGTTTGGCTCGTTTATTACTAATAATTAGCTGAGTTCGAGTTTAATGAGTCGATCTTGAGCTTTAACGAAACGAACTATAAAAAATTATATAAAAATTCTCGTTTGGAGCATTAACTAAATGGGCTTAATTTAAATAGCTCGAGTTCGGATCAATTTAGTTTAATTTAAATAGCTCGAGTTTGACTCATTTGATCCGAACTCGAGCCTTAACTAGTCAAGCGCGAGCCGAGCCGAACCAGACTCGTTTAATTTAACAGCACTAGATACATGAGAAACCTCAAGTGTTAATCAGTGTATGAGCCTTCCAAATGTACATGCAAAGATATTAGGTTATTTTACATGTTTATCATATTCTTTTAAAGCTTAAAATTAAATACGACATTCAAAATAAAAATATACATAAGTTATTTATAAACTAGACTTAAAACTAAAACATAATGGAACTTGGAAATCAACGACAAAAATAGGCCAAAAATCAACCAGTCATAAACTTTAAAAGTTAATATATTTTTAACTAATTAAGAAAAAAATTGCATAAATATAAAACAAAATGAGATTTGAAAATAAATACTGTAATTTTTTTTGGCGCTATTAAGCAATTAATGGACATCTTTTTGGTTTTCTAACAAACTCTTACTAGGCCTTGAAACATAGTTAGCAAAAGCCCAAGCCCATGTCCATGTTAGATTTGTGTCCATTGAACATGTTGAGTAGTTTTTACATGCCTAATAAGTAATAATAGGCCTTAGTCTATCACGCTAGCTTATACAATTCAATCACCAATTATTAAAATTTTATAATTAAGTCCTCTGGTTATTCGATTTACAAAATATAAATTTTTCGCACGTTAGTAATCTGTATTCATATGGTATTTTTCATAGAAAGTTATTTTTATCAGGAAGAGCAAAGTAACAAATTATATGATGTGCCATTCTCTATAGTAGCTCGATAAATCGAAGAAACGAGCTATTGAATAATTCTCTCTCGCATGTTGATGCTACACGATCTGGTGAATGGAATCGAAAAGCATATGAATGACATGTATTGTTTGAGTTCGAAAACAAACAAATAATCGTTGTTTTTATCAGTATATTTACCATAAGTTATAATCTTTTTTTATCCAGAGGGGGCCTATTTGCGACAGGGATTGCAGTACAAATTGAGCCAAACTTGGCCATGCAATATAGTTTTAGACTTAGCAGAAATTGGGAATATATAGCATGCAAAAGAAGCAGCAGATTATATCAGTATGGACGTGAAATTAATGAAAGGAACTTTAAGGTTCTTTTCGTTTTTTGTTTTTTTTCTTTTTCTTTCTTCTTCTTCTTACTATTATTATTGCTATTACTACTTTTAATTTGTTATTACTACTTTTAATTAGTTTAGTCAAGGACACTAAGTACGTACTAAGTAGGATATTAAAATTTGTGCTTTTAATTATTTAAATTTTACTATTGCCCTCGTTCAAAATTGATGATAATGAGTTTGGATTTCATGTTATTTCACTTCATGGTGGGTTCCATGTATGAGATGAAATTATTTTGTGCACGTGACATAATCCAAAAGGGGGAAAAATTTGACCCCAAATGTGAAAGGAAGGTTGGGGTAAAAACTGGCCAACCTTTTTTTGATTTTATATTAAATAACACTATCAAATATAAATAAAGATCATTCAAAATATTATATACTTATAAATGTTATATTAAAATAATATTATATTTTTCGGGCATAAGAATTAAAATTTATTTTTATTTTATTTTTAAATTAACTAAGCAACATAAAAAATATATCATCGCCTAAGATCTAGTGGCCTACGCCTCTACTTAGGTTTGACTTGCTTCACAGCCTCGCTTGTTGGCCTCTAGACGATGTTCAGTTGTTCGAGTGCATAAAAGGACCGTTTATATGAAAATTAGGCTTGTGAAAATTTTGTCTAGCAAGTGCATGCATGGTTAGCCAGACTACTACAAAGTAAGTCACGTTTGGACTGACTAAGCAAAATCTAGACGTCCGTAATTTTTTTTAATTTAATTATAAAATATATTAAAATAGTATTGTATGAATATACATTTTCAAAATTATTTAAAAAATAATGTTAAATAATTCAAATATTATGAATATATTAAATTTTAGACAAATTTTAAATTTATGACGATATTAATTATTTTTTTTATATTATATACAAGTCCTTATAAACATGTATACATATATTCATATGAGTGTGTACTAATTCAATAATATAAAATTCGAAAACTGCATTATCATGTGGGAAATTATCCCGAGTATGTGACCAATAGACTTGTAAACGAGTCGAGCTCGAACCTTTAATGGCTCGACTCGTTAAATAAACGAGCTTGAAATTGAGTTCAATTTCGGCTCGCTTATCACTAATGACGATTTGAGTTTGAGCTTTAATGAGCAGATCTCGAACTTTAACGATCTAAATTATAGAAAATTATATAAGAAATTTCTTATCGAACGGAATCAAGCTTGATTCGTTAACTAAAAACGAGTCGAGTTCAAGACTCGTTTGGTTTAACGTGACCAACAAAAACACTT